GGTCGCCGGCCTAGCTTTGGAAGAAGAAGCTTCCGGGTCCTCGGAGACGGGCTCATCGGGGAAAGCCTTGCGAGCCTTCTCTCGCTCATCCTTAATAATGGCAAGTCTCCTTTGCTTTGTTGACATTGTTTTCCAAAGAAAAGGTGGAATACTGTCGGGCTTACTCGATCCTGAATACCTTCGCGCTTTCACACCCCCCGCATCGTAATGAGCACCCCCATCTTTGGGAACAAAGGTGTCCTTGCTGGTCTTCAAATCGATGACTTTGACCATTTCTTCCGACGCGGGTCCCTTTTCGGGGGCATCTTTGATCAGCTTTCCGAGGTTTTCAGCGAGTTCCTGATCATCGATGTCATCCTGGCCTGGCATCTCTGCCGGCAAATCCTCCTTCAAGAGCGGCGCATCCAATGCAGCTGGATCGGGCGTTTCAGGAGCGTATTCAAGCCCCGGCATTACGCCATTCATGTGCAACAAGTGCCGTTCGACCATTGGAAAAGAGAATTCACCATCCGGACATTTGATCTGATTTACTCTCAAAGGAGCAATAGGTTGATCATAGTCCTTCTCCATCAAATCTCGCAAAGGAACAACGAGAAATTCGTGACGCCAAAGAAAGTCAGGATGGATGGGATACCCCAGAAATATTCCAGCCCTGGAAGTAGGTTCAAGCTTCAAAGGCTTGTTGGGTCGATTCCTCGGGCCAGTCCAAAAGTTGACTTGACAACCAAAGGGCAAATATGGTCCGGGAAAATCTTCTCCAAAACGTACCTTCCATGGTGAATGATAATCTGGGTGGTCCGTGATGTTATGCGCCATGCAATAGTGTTTGGCCGCATGTGGCCAATACGAATGATGCAAACCAGCTTGTTCCAGGTTGGTCCTCGTGCCCTCGATAATCGCCCTGACGTTCCTCTCAGCAATAGCATTAGTTTTGGAAATGTAGTTTGTACTTTGAACATGCTTCCATTCCAATTGATCCGCCGCTTTCACAAGTTCAGGAGCCCGATCACTGTAAAACACGTTCACGGTTTCCCCGGTGCGGACAAAGTGCTTGAATGCCATCACACACTGATGAGAGGTTTTCCGTGCTGCTGGGTAAACATAACGGAAATCAGTGGCAACATCTCGAACCACAAGTGCAACTCTAGATTGATCAATGCCGATTTCACGATCATCTGATGTGATAAGATGGTCCGCCGTAAGGTGATCACCAAACTTCTTGGCCTCGACTTGAGTGGAACCTCCCTTTTGTTTTGATGGATATTTGTACATCTTCGCCCTGTTACAAGTCTCGCAAAAGGGGTTCTTGGGAGTGTGACACATCAAGTGCTGGAGTGAGGTCGCCTCATCACGCAAAGCTGCTTCACCGCGTTCGCGAGGGGCGTCCTTCAAAATAGGCTTAGACACGAAATCGGAAGCGATGACCTTAGGCGCATCTTCGGAGGGAATGTCATGGCACTCTTCAATGACCTCACCTTCCGGTTGGCTAATGGTGTCCTCAAGCAAGAAATCATCGTTCCCCAATTCATCCCCATCATCCTCATTGGTCACAAGCACCTCTTCAACAGCTTCTGGTTCCTCGTCAATGACTAGAACTTCATCCTCAATTTCAATGGGAGCTGATGGTAATGATGTAACCTTTGGAATGCTCTGTGACAAAGCTGGAACAGCATTTTGAGTTGCTGGGGGAATGAATGGAACATTGTCTTTGACCTCGAGCTTGATACGTGAACCATCCGGAAGTCGGAAATAAGGTCTGCTGTGGGCTCTCCAAACGAAATCATATCCGTCCCTGAGGCATCTCATACCCACGGATAACACGGATGGAGCCTTGTCAAGAACATATGGCCGAACAACACTATCGGTCTGTTGGATCTTGACCCTGGCCTGCTTGGTACCGATAATATTCCCATTGGCTGTGGAAAATTTCAGAGGTTGAGACGATTCGTAAATACACCCCACCTCCGCATCGGTTCCCGACAGCAAATCCTGAGAAGCTCCTGTATCCGCGATCCACGGAATGTGAGAAGAATCCATTGTCATACGAGCAACAGCAGCTTTCCCCTTTTTGGGGGAGGTCTCGGGCTTCTCTGGCTCGGCCGTTAGGCCTGCGGGGATGCAGGAATCACAGCCGAAATCAGAGTCGCATTGAAATTTGCAAGGAGTCTTCGTGCCTTTGAGCAAATCCTTCATCATAGCTTCATGCATGGTGCCGATAAGAGTTGCGTCAGAAACAGCTCTCTCATCGAACTTCGGAACATAATCAACAGGAAACTCGTGTGCAAACCTTCTCGACGAGGCAGTGTAGGGCCAAAGCTCGCCGTCAGTCTCATAGTTCGAAATAGATGGGTAATCAGAGAATTGCACGCACTTCTTGATACATGGCATACTCTGGAAAACATCGTGAGTCACACTAGGCAGGCAAGGATGCGAGGCGACCGAATCGAGGGTCGCGGCGCACACCATCGCCTGGAGGAGGCACACCGCAGCATTGCTGCCTTTTGACGATCGCGGAGACTTGAGGGACTGAGAACCCTTCGAGTCTTTCGAATCTTGAGAAGAAGGCCTGCTTCCCTTCTTCTTCTTTTTCTCTCTCGGCGATGTCTTGGGGGTGTCTCCACTAGTGGTCTTCTCGGCCTTTGGGGCTGGAGCTGCCTTGGAAGTTGCGGGGTGCTGCCATGGGCAATCTTTCCCTCTCTCACATCTGTTCGCTTTGAAGAACTTGCACACCTGGGGCTTCGAACCAGGAGGACTCTGCGAACGATACTTCCTTGGCGTCTGGGATCTAGATCCGCCCTTCTTGCCTTTCCCCTTACCTTTCGGTGCCTTAACATGTTCGAATCGGCAGTCTGAACCATAGGTGCACTGGCCAGTTTGAAATTTCACACATACACCCTTGGGGATTCCAGGAACTGCAGGGTTGTTCGATGGAGTCCTGCCACGTCCAGTTGTGTTGCTTGACATAGCATCCCGCATGTGAACAAGCCTCTTGCGCTCCAAATAATTCCTCGATGCGTCAATCAGGAATTTATAGGAGTGCTTTTCCGTCCCTTCCTCAGCCCGCTCATACTCATTGAGATCATGACTGAGAGGCCGAAACTTTCGAATCTGGCGGTGGAACAGCGCTTCAAGGGTCTTCTCATTCTGCTCATTGCCCATTCCAGCGATGACCGTGTCCCATCTTGTCATGAAGTTCTTGAGGTCCTCGTTGATGAGCTGGACAGAGAGCAAGTCCTCAAAGTCGTAAATTGCACCATGTTTGATGTTCGTGCTGAAGTGCTTGTGAACCATCAAAAGAATTTGGCGCCCCCTCGCGTAGCGTTTCTCCTTTGCTTCTTGTTCTTTGAAAATGTCGACTTGCCGCGCGAGGTCGCCCTCCAAGATATTCGTCAACGCCGATGCCAGCTTTGCATCAAGATGGACAAACATTCCTGAATCACGAAGGACTTCAACAGTTTGACCTGGGATCCAAGTTGCCTCAATCCACTCAAATGCCTTTTCGGGTTGGTCGGAAGTAGCAACAACAGCATCCCTAACTTTGATCCTCCAATTACGGTACTGTTCGGGCTTCGGGAATCGGGGAATCTGAATTCTGTCACCCTCCTTTACACGAACGCGTTCCGCTGTCGGATCGCTCGAATTACCTAAGTGCTTCAGTAGCTTTCGTCGAAAGGATTCATCCGATGCAGTAGAAGTTGATGACGAAGATGACGAGGGAGAAGATGATGGATCTCGTCGCCGGCGTCGGCTACGGTCCTTCTTCTTTTTCTTCTTCTTCTTCTTTTTCTTGTCCTTGTCATTTCCACCATCACCATCATCGCAAGGCCAACCGTCTCCGGTAGCAGCATCGTCCACGGCCCCGGCGGGAACGGATCCGTCTTTGCCGTAGGGGTCGCTCCCGACCTTCGTCCAACTGTGCGAGGAAGCATTCGAAAGTCCGGGTGGAGATGCAGCCAAAGGAACGGTCGGGATAGCCAAGGGGGTAGCTGGTGCCTGCTGAACGGGAGGCGCAGGGGCTGGAGCAGGTTGAGCAGGCGGTTGCTGTTGATTCTGCATCATCTGCTCGACCATAGCCCTTAGCTCCCTGATCTGCTTCTCCTGCTCGCTGATCGTGTTCATGGCGTTTTGGTACTTCATCTCGGCTTCTCTTTCCGATTTCATGGTGTTCACACGCTGCTCCGCATTCATTTGAATCTCGCGTCTCATGGCCTCCGATTGGCTTTGAAGTCCGGCAATAATCTCACCATGCCTTGCCTCCGCCATCTGGGCGACCATGGGACCGGTGTCCTGATTCACGAACTGGTTGAATTGGGCATTGTTCTGGGTAGCGTTGATCTGCTGATAGTTCGTCACGTCCTGGTTCATCGTCATCGAAGGATCGAGGTGGACGTTTGCAACATGTTGGTTGAACTGATTCATGGACTGTGGCATAGGGTTTCCCCTTGCGAGATCGGTCTGGGGGTCGTACATGACGATGTCACCATGCCGATGCCGATCTGATCCAGCAGGTGAAGGAGATCGAGCACCAGACCTCCCAGTCCTCCCACGGTCACTCCGAGATCGAAGTGATTCGGGGCCCTGACTGCTCAGTGCCTGTCCCTTCCTGATGAGCTCCCTGGCCACTTGGGAGTTTGCTCGACTAGTCGGTTCATATTGCGAGGCGTCTTCATCGCCTGCGGGCTCATCAGGTGTGGGACGCACCTCGGCATGGGGTAGTCCAGGGTCGCCATCCATGGCGCACAACTCTGTACAAAGAGCCGCTTACGGCTGATAACCTATAGAACAGGTTAAACAACCGGGAAGGGTCACAAATGAACCCTGTACTCAGCGCGCTTTTTCCTTGAGCCATACGCAGTCGTAATGATGAGACTGCGCAAGTGAGACATTCATGCATTGGGGTTTTACATGGTTGATAAATACATCACGTTACAAACTACAGAAAGCGTTCCATGAGCTGTGACTGTGTTTGGTGCTCCTGCCAGTGTCTAACAAGGACCAGCCTTGTTCTTTACCACCACGCGCTTCTGCAGGAACTTGACGTATGACTGGGCAAGGCAGTCGTATGGCGAAAGCGTGTGATGGGATTCGCGTTGATTTGCTTTTCCCATTGACTCTTGGCAAAGACTCGGTGACTCTCCAGTGACCCCTTCGCTTTCAGGTCCGGTGCCCAGCCTTCTGGCGCTTGAACTCCACCATTTTCCTCGGCGCCCAAAGCGCGCTTGTGGCGCTTCTCTTCGTGAAATAGCTTCTAGCTGTTGGGTTAGCTAGTCAAATGTCCCCGAAATGGCACACAAAACGCAACGCGTGCTTCGAAGCGATTCTCACTTCATCCAGTTGACTCATGTGCAAGGACAGGTGTTGACTCATGTCCTATCTGTTAACTTCATCCAGGTGCTGATTCATATTCTCCGTGGTTTGCTGTTTTGGGGCGGAAGGGTCTCACTTGCAGGATGTGGGTGTCTCTCAAAATAGGGGCGGCCCCATGCCTGGCTTTCCGTTGGCCCCTTGAACATTCCCAAACAAAGGGCACCCTCAACAAAAGGCATACCCATGTCGCCTGATATCTCTCTCTCTCTCTCTCAAATTTGTTTTATGGTGCAAGCCCCCAAATTCAGCCAGCTCACTTGCGGAACTCTTCCTTCAGAGCATTCGCCTGAACTCATGCTGGAAAGCTCTCATGCTTAACAACCTGAACATATTGTTTGAACAACCTCCTGTTGGCCATCCTTTACATATTTTTCAGGAATTGGACAGGGCCAGGCCTCCTTCTCAAAGGGTGCGCGCTCTTCCGGCGGGGTGTTCTTCCATTTCTCGCCCAGGGCCTTGCCTCAAGTCGCGCGTATGGGGCAACTGCACAGGCCCCTTGCCCCGAAACCTTCGGAAAAGCATGCAGCCTGGACCACTATACACGAACCAGCCCCGTGCCAAACCAAAGAACCTCTGGCCACCTTAAGCGCCCATGGCGCCCCCGAAAGTGGCAAGCGGCTCAACTCCCCAGCACTAGCGCCCTTCTTCTCCTGTCCCACGCAAAGCCGAGCAAGCTGAACCAGCTGACGTATGCACTTGACGCCAGACAAGTAGTGAATACCACATCCAAGGCAAACATCGTCGGTCCTCCTGCACCTGCTTCATGTACTTGTTCTTGAAAAGGTTGAAAGCGTTGGCTGGCTTCGGCGGTGCCTCCTTGAAAGCTGGGGCCCTCACTCAGCTTGGTGCCAGCAGCCTACTGTTGGGCATAACACGGGCGCGGTTCAAAGTAGTTGCTTCCGTTCTGCGTCAGCCACCTTCGCATTGCACGTCGATTCTTGCACTCCGGAGGCTCTGTCAAATCAAAAGGTTGGGCATGGCATTAATTCCTGGAAGTCCGCTGCCACTCCACAACTGCATAAACTCCAAACTACGGACCCTAAACCCTCATGGCCCTACGTCGTGGCTGCAATGGTCTGATGACATCCTAAGAAATCATGACACTACAACACAACAAATAGTCATCGTCTTTCATGCAGTTGAGTTGATACTGCCATCTCATGATAACTTTTCAAATATGCTAGCGTTGCTTCCAGCGTTCCTCCCTTCAATGCTCGCGTCAATCCCCGTTCCTTGTATGTAGTGCGTTGCAGCTTGTTCAGCGCATGTCTGCCGTCCATCTTGGCCTTCTTGGTCTGGAACTCCTGGGGCACAAGGTGTCAGAGTGAAACACCCAACTGCTGGGTCATCTTCATGGCAAAAGGCCGCACAAACAGTATCCATCAAGACGCTCAGGCTGCACAGTTGCTTCTTGACGCTTGGGCGTTTTGAGCAGCCCATTCTCGATTCAGGCGCAGTCTCTTGCACTTGCGGCCGCCTTCCAGTCATCGGTCATCTTGTACTCGGCAAACTTCACCTGAAACCTGAGGGGTCGCACATGAGTCGCACAACCGGATCAGGACGCAATGCCTGCGTCCTGCTTCAGCAAACGCTCTTTCAAGGGCAATGAGCAATGTGGCGGCTCTCTTTATTCAAACAACAGTCGTGCTGAACCCTCCTGAGTTCGCAGAAACAAAGTGCAGAATGCATGGCATGGGAGCAATGCGTGACATGCGCGCACTTGGGCACCATTTATGCAGCAGCATAGGGTCCAAAACAAAACAGCCCCATTCAGCAGAAGGCAGCCTGCCAGATGGTTTGGCCAGGTGGCTCCTCTTTCTGCTTTTGCGCAACTTCCTGATACTCGGCCTTCTTGGCCTCTGACAGCCTGAGTCAAATCTTGGCGCAACCTCCTCCCGCTCCGGCACAGCTGGGCACTAGACGCATTCCACTCCTCGGAAATCCTTTTGCCGATGTCGCCCATGCCGCCGCCAGCAGCCATCACTGCCTGACACGAGTGCTGGTCTTTTCTCATAGTGTTAATTTTGGCACCAACACTTTCGGTCCTCCTTTACGCGATCACGCGCTTCATCTGAGTAAAGACCGTAGCCCGATTTAGGCCTCGGGGCATGATGCAGCAGGTTCTGCCAGATCTGCCAACAATGGTCGCAAAGCCCGTAGTTGTCCACCTTTTGAGCCAGTGTGTTCCAGGGTGACCCATTCCGTCCGCCTCTTTGGCGCTTTCTTTGACTCAGCTTTGAGGAATTTCTTCTTCTCCTTCCGATCCTTGTAGTCCTCAAGTGGGGCAGCCTACAAATGCTGCATGGCTTTGACGTATCACCTTGAGAAACGTAGCGACCAGTACAAGTACCATGACAACTGACGAATGAAGTGGCCTTCCAAATGTGATGTTGTTTTAGTCCGAGCTCAGGCAGTCCTGCTTTTCGATGCAGAACTCCTTGTAGGAGTCTGTCTTTCTGTAAGCGTCCCATTTTGGCCGCCAAATCTCCATCTCTGCATCGTACCTGTCAGGGGGCCCGTCAAGCCTCGCGCGGGAAAGCGCACAAAGCTGCCTTTCCAGCGCAGGGTCAGGCTCGCAGGCTCATGGTTCTTTCGGTGGAAACTCCAATTGAAAAGACTGGGCGATATTAAAAGAAACAAGACCTTCACTGCAATCGGAACAGGAAGACCTTCACCGCAAGGCAACAAATCAGATGTTAATATGCGTTGGCTCCATGGCCGAAGGCTGAGGCAGCTGCTCCTTCTGCAAGCGGTCTTTCTCCTCTTGAGGAGCCTTGGTATGCTCAACTTGCATGTCTTTCTCCAAACAGCTCCGCCTGCAAGTTGGCACTTAGTACCCCCCCAGCCTCCCAGCCTTCCAGCCCCCTCAGCACTCGAGCCCCCCGCCTCCTCCCAAACCTTGTTGAGCGCTTCCATCATGGCCTTGAGGTCCTTGGTCAGCTCAGGCCTCGGGGAAAAACGCGTGAGCGAAGTTGACGCGGCCCTGTGCTGGCTCTGTGCGGGCTCAGCTTGCTGCAACACGGGGTCTCCGGATGGGAACCAGAAATTGCAATGGTTTCCCTTTCAGGTGCCTCCTTTCTTTGCCCCGCTCGCTCCGGCCATCGAACCCTCTCGGTGGGCCCGCCTCTCCTGCTTGATCCTCTCCCGTTCTGGAGCTTGAACCTCAGCTGCTTGCAACCGGTTGGGGGTGCTGGCTGGTCCTTGCTAATCCGCAAATGGCAAACTGTGGCAACATTGTGGTTATGAATGGGGATGCCCCAACCGCTGGTTTGACAGTGCCAACACTTGAGACAGCCAATTTCTGTGTGTTCTGCATGCGGTGTACCGGCCCAAGTCGCAGTAAGTGCACTGGGCAGCCCCACTCGCGACTTTGGGGTCTGTGGTCTGGGAGGGGCATTCAGATCCTGTGCAGCTGCGCAGCCAGCTTGCTCAGCAAAACGCGACTGGCTGACTCCCAAAGCTGCCAGCTCCCGCAGCTTTGGGAACACACCCCTCATACTCCTTACATTCTTTGTGGACATGCCTCTGGACCCCGAAATCTCCTTTGGCCGACCTCTCTTCTTCTTCTCTGGCGGGGCTGTGCCGTTGGTCGCCTGAAGTGCCGCACCCAATCCACTCTGCCCAAGGTCCAACCCCACTCTTACCATTCGCCTCAGGTGCTGCGCTCTCCTGGCCCTCCTGGCGCTCCTGGCCGCCCTCCTGGCCCTCCTGGCCCTCCTGACCCTCCTGGCCCTCCTGGCCCTCCTGACCCTCCTGGCCCTCCTGGCCCTCCTGGCCCTCCTGGCCCTCCTGACACTCCATCCTTAGTGAGATGGCTGCCAAACCTTCGGACCCCCGGGTGCACAGTGCAACGCGATGAGGCCATGAGCTATGCTATGCCCTACCCCAGGGCATCGGCGGCACAGTCTCATCCCCGTCCATGCCGAACCTCAGACGTTGGACAGGTGAGGCACCCACAGCGCGGCATTCAGAACTCAGACCAAGCGGCCCCCGGAAGCTAAACAAACCCGACGGGATCTAACTGAGCCATAAATTGCACATCGGCGCGTGCGCAGTGATCCATCAAATCTGCACTCACCGCCCGGGAAAGCAACTCCGTCATTCCCCTCCCACGTCTCTCGACTCAATGAATGCTCACAGCAAACCAGGCGTAGCGCACCTCTGCGCAGAGTATGGCTCTACTTTGCCCTTGCTGCCCGTCTGCTGAAAAAACTCCAACTCCAGTTTGAGCCCGGTCGAGGCGCGTGCGGATTGCCTGGTCCTGCTTGCAGATTGTATCATGGCTTGGGTGGGCGAACCACAGGCTGCCTTGCCAGGTCAGGTCAAATAAATAATGCTGTGCATGCAAGTGAATGCTCATGCGTGCCCGCCTGCGTACGAGAAGCCACCATCGTTAACCAAAGAACATCGGCACGCAAAAATAGCTACTTGCAAAGAAACAATTATGCAAATGTATATCACAGACGTGTAAGTGCGGAGGGAGAAAGATGTATGTATGTGTGGTTGTGCATGTGGAGATATACACATATATATATATATGTGTGTGTGTGTACGTATGTATGTATGTATGTACGTACGTACGTACGTACGTATGTATGTATGTGTGTGTGTGTGCGTGTGTCTGTCATGCAAAGGCTGCCATTGGCAAAGCAGGGTTTGAGAATGTTTAGGCCTCCAACGTGAGATGGTCACACTCAAAACTGCGGCCCTGGATCCAGGCTGGAGGCACTTCTGCGCGAATTTCAGGAAGCCTTCCAAGTCCGAACTTTCAGCTGCCTGGCGACATGTCGAAAGCCAGGCATGGAGCCCCCCAAAACAAAAACAAGTCACGTGCGCGAGGGAGAGAAGGGGAGAGCGAGAGAGAGAGAGAGAGAGAGAGGGAGAGAGAACGGGGAAAAAACAAAGCGGCTTTTGCGTCGCGCAAACTGATGAGACTTCGCCCTTTCCGGGCAGTAGTTTGGTTGAGCCCTTTTATCTCAACCTAGCCCAGGACGCGCTTTGTTCAAGCGCATCCAAGTGGCACGGCTGTGCCCTGTCTCTGTGCAACTTGCAGTTCTGCAAGCCGATCCAAGGGCGGAGCAAATGCCCCCGGGGCTGTACCAGATTTTTCTGGCACTTCCAGGGCATGCAAATGTGGTGGAGGACCTTGGGAGGGATAAGTCCGTTGCAAGCATCTTGCAGAACTCGGCGTTGCGTCTCCATTCTGACTTCAGGCTTGGTCTATCTGGGGCTTGCAAGGCTGACCAGTCACCCCTCAAAGCCAAGGTCGCGAAAAAAAAGAGGAGCTCAAACCAGACACTCTGGCGTTGCACAATTCAAAGCGGTGCTGACAGGAGTTGAGCTAGCTTCAGCTGAAAGGTGAAAAGTTGAGTGGAAACACTACAAAAATGGTTGCAACACGCGAGGCCCAAACTATTGCATCTGCAACGGTGCTGGCCGGAGGGTCTGATGAGGTTCCACAAAGCTTCTGGTGGCGCTGGTGGCAGCGTATCTGCCGCATCCCACTGAAACGAAAGGCTCAGCCAGCATGCACAACACCCTGGATCTGCACTTGGCTCACAAAGGGGATGCTCTTCGCGCTCAACTTGAACCAGCGTACGCGCTCCTTGCAGGGCCGGGTTGCAGGGTTTCTTATTCAGCCACTTGACGTGTTCGCGTTCGCTCGCTCCGGCCTTGGTACGACAGGACAGGTTGCTCCGGGCAGACGACCACAGAAGCTCCCAGGTGCAGCCATTCAAAGAGCCTGGGACTTTGCGGACCATGCAGTTTGAGCTCCAAGAAACACATGCCGCGAACTCAAGGCCCTATATGCCCTATCTTTGTAGGCACCCTATGTCCAACATGTGCCAATTGGCACCACCTAGCCCCGAGTTCCCTATACCATGGCGGCAAGGCTGCAACCAGAGCACTGAAAATCTCCACGCAAGCGCTGCCCTCGTGAACGCTGGCCACCGGCTCCTAAGTGAGAGAAGAGAAAGATATTCGTTCACCTTGTGCATTTGTCATGTGCGATTTTGGCCTGTCGGGAGCTCCTTTCCTTAATGTACCCCGAAGTCTTTCCCCCTTCAGCCCAGGCTGCGCTGAAGTTGATGCCGCTCACGTGGATGCTGTGGATGGGCAGGAACCAGGTCATAGATTCGCCTCTCGCTCACGGTGTTTTTTTCTCGCTTAGACGAACGCTGGCTTAGCATGCCCAAAGAAAAAGAAAGGCTTCATAACAGAACCCTCTCTGGTTTCCGAAGCCTGGCTGCAGCTCCAATTTCAGCACGTTTCGCGCCACCTCCTCCTGCCCCCTGTGTGGCCCGTGCGGGTGGTAGGGCGGCCTCCTGAGCCACGACCCAGTCTTGTCATGTCCGGGGCAGTGCTTCTTGGCACCTCCCAAGTGCCATTCAAGCACTTGAGTTTAAAACCGGAGAGAAAAGGAAGAAGCGCAGCCATGCATGAAGGCTCTGATCTGCTGCAGGGTTACTTCAAGCAAAAGCGACCGGACTTGCAGCCGAAGCATCCATCCAAGGCTGCTGGGGATCAAATTGAGCCAGCACCCGAGAAACGGCATGTGGCGCCGATGCTCTTCACACCTGAGCCGGTGCCAGGGGGTGAAAGGCATGAAGTCAACCTGCGCCATGAACACTGGACCTCGTAAAGTCTCCATTAAAACAATGGAGCATGCGTTCAATGGCCGGATTCTGTTTAAGGAGCCCTGTGAGCAGCTCCTTGAACTTGAACCCCGAGGCCGAAGCCCAATCAAACAGCCCGCCGAGCGGCTGAACCTGCCACTTGGACTCCAAATACTTGAAAATATCAGGCGTCCACTGTCCTGCGGAGGCCTCGTTCAAGCCCCGTGCCCCACAATGCACTGAACTCCACTTGGCACTGCCGGCCTGCGCCTGGGCCCACATCTGATCCACCACAAAGGCCAGGCCTACGCTCTCCGCATGGTAGCCTGGAGGCGAGTTCGTCGATGCCGCGGGATGCAAACGTACTGCGGGAGGCGTAACCTTTCCGTGTGCCACAAAAATTGCCTTGCGAGGAACCCTTACTAAAGCCTTCTTGCCAGCCAGCAGCCCCACCCAAGTGGGGACCGTGCATGAGACTTGGTATGGTCTCATGAGAACGCCGGCAAACGAGCAAACAAACTGAGCGTTGCGCGGATCTCTTGGAAGCGCTCCTCATTGAAGCCCCCAAAGGTCACGTGCTCCTGGCACGCATCCCGACCGCCCAAGCCGCCCGCTTCACAATGTTCAAAGCGGTGGCTGGCCTTCAAAGGGAAACCCAGGAAACTAACCTTTGAAACCCTTTTTGGGGCCCAAATATGTGAGAAACCCCACAAGAGTCACCGAGTCGCTGAACGCGCCTGGAGCAAATCTGCGAAGTTCTGGTGCGGGTTCTGCTCCTCGGGTTGAGTGCTGGCTGCGCGTCAATCAAGGTATAGTCTATCGTGTCTTGCATATCGATACCATCCTGCCAGGAGATGATCATCTTCGCCAATTCAAAATCTCCAATATCCTTGGCAATCGCAGGCTCACCCAAAAGAATCCAGGCTTGAGAAGGGAAGCCCTCTTTGCTTCAGGGTTCCCGCTTCAACCTGTGGCGCGCTGGCACGCTAGCATGAGCACAGAAAGAGAAACGAAACAGCCAGCTCGCCGAGACGCGTTGCTGGCCAGCGGCAGCAACTCCTCTAGCAGCCGTGAATTCAGCGTCCAAGCCTCCCGGAGGCTCTGCTCCGGGTCTGCCAGCAGGGCATCTGAGCAGGGCTGAGTTCCCAAAAGGCAGCAACGCCTGAAGGCTAAGAGCCGATGGGGAACAGGGAGGTCCGGACCACCAAAAAAACGTGTCCATTTATCCCAGTCGACTCTGTGCGCATATTCCGCGACAGGCCAAATACACGTCAACATGTTGAGGCCATAGGTTTGACATGAACGAGCGTCACTGAACATAGACCTTGAAGCCCTGATTGCTTCTACCATCTCTGTCCGGGAAAGCTCGTCGAGCTCAAATGACGTGCACCCCATCCCCAATCCCCCCACCGCCACCAACACCCCCCTACCCCCCACCTTTCGTATGGTGGTTGGCTACGACTCTTAGATCATCCACCTCCTCTCCACGGCTTTCCGGCTTTCCGGCTTTCCGGTCCGGGCTTCCCGGCGAAGGCACGCACTTCGCAGGCTGTTGCCCACGTCCGGGAAGCGATGCGCCACCTCCAGCATGGCCTCGAGAAGTCCGCGAGTCCGATCGCAGGCCCATGGGTTTGCATCCGGGCGTCAAAACTGTGGTTTTCCTTTTGCTTGCCGCAAAAGGGGGCACTTCGGGGACCCAGTGACTGGCTTCTGGTCGGTGTTCTCACTTGACCCAAAAGGCACTAAAGGGAAGTCCCCTGGGCACGGGAAAACCAAAGGAACCGACGAAAGTCTCTAATTTGGAGAAGCACCTATCTGGTGCTTCCCCTCAAACCGTGTCAAACCTTGTAGGCGGGCTTCAGCTTGTATGTAAGTTCGAGAGAGGATTTAGAAGTGAAGTCTGCATTTCCAGTGACTTTCTGTTTCACCCTCTGCCAGGGCTGGGCCCACCTGCTAGGAGATGTTTCAACTTCAAACAAGTATTGTCGGCATTGCCGGGTATTGCCTCAAAGTCCTCCTTTTGATTTCCCTCTCACAGAGGCCATGCTTGTTTCAACACCCGACCCATTCGCCGCCCAGTGGCGTATACGTCGCGTGGGGTGGCAGCACCGTTTTGCAAAAGGTCCTCGCAGACTTGGCTGCACTCCTGGAGGCCAAGCCATGAATTGGCCTTTGCCGTCCTCTCTCTCCCTCTCTAAGACTCTAAGGAAAACAGCCACGGGCAGGCAACGCACTGCCCTCGCATAAGCATCGGCCTGTCTGCTGACGCCACTCCACTGGTTTTTAAGTCTTCCTCGCACCCCCCCCCCCCCCGAACAAGCAGGAGCAGTCCAGCACCCCATAGCGCTCGGCCATCAGTGACGACTCCGTTGCAACCACCAAGTTCGAGGGCATGCGCCCAGAGTACAAGAACCTGCCAATGCCAAGGATGTGCAAATCAACGTGCCCTCAACCCCCCGCCCCCCGAAAGCAGTCCCCCGAAATCAGTGCCAGGTGCCAAATTGATGTGCGGGATTCTGGCAGCTATTCTTCGTGACTCTGATTCTAACCCTTTGAAGCCATTCATTCCCCTAGCTTTTAGAAAGCGATGAAATCTGAATTGGGTGAGCGGACATTCACAAGCTGAATTCGTTCTGGATCCCCAGAACGAGCCTTCAGGTGTGAATTCGCTTAGCCGTTTCTGAATGCTTCATGCTCTATGCAGTCTATGCCCATGTTTCAGCAGCCCTTCGGGCCATGGGACCACTAAGCGCACCCCGCCCGCCTCAAGAAGCCCTCCACAGCTGCCACTGAGAAGTTGGGCACCTCCCACCTAGCTCAAAGGCATCAGAAAATAGCCCGAGGCTTGTTTAGCCACTCTGAGCCTTGAGCATCCAATGAATCCTATGCCCTAAGCCCAAGCCTGCCTTTGAGCCTCTCATTCAACGGGAGACGAGGAGAGGGGAAAGGGAGCGGAAGCAAGCGTCGGCTTGTCCTGCCTTAGGCCCTGCATCACCTGCTCAGCCAGCGCCGGCGACCAGGCCTCATGCTCAGGGAAAGGTTGACTGAATTTGACAACTGCAGTAGATGCCAGGGTTGAAGCTACAAGTGCCAACAGCCGCCAAGGCACGCTGAGAAAGGCGGAGTAAACACGGAACTCTGCTTTTGCGGAGCCATTGCTTACCACCACCTCGGATGTGCCCATCATGACGTCAGCTCGCAGCTCTCTCATAGTCACAGGGCTTTAGCGCAGCCGTGGGCGCAAGCTGCAGATCACCCTCTTGGTTGAAGCACTTCCTCGGCAGGCTGAGACATCTAGCTCAAGCCCGCTTGTCCGAGCGCTTGTCCGAGCAAAGAAGTTCAACTTGACAAACTATTTTCTTTGGGTGGCTTTCGAGGGTAAGCTCGCAGGGTACCCGAGGGTACCCTCGTAGGCTTGCTTGAAAGGATCAAGAGGACACCCCCTTCTCGGGGTCCAAAAAGCCCCCGCCCCCGGGCATCTGGAGGCAAGTTGGCCGTTGGCCTGTGCGCAGACTCTGGCTGAGATTCTCCATAGCCCTGGTCACCAGAGAGGAGCAGTCCATGGCGCCAAATGAACCCACTAGATCTGCACTAACCAACGCTCGGTGAAAACGTCCGGACACGCTGCCTGGAGAAAGCACTGCACTGGTCACGATCTGACTGGGGGCTTTGAGCCAAACGCGCAAGCAGCATGGCGGTGCTTGCAGTGCTTTGACCAAATGGCCCGAAACGTCAGCGACAGCGGTTGGGCATCTACTTGCAAACGTCTGGCTTGCAATGTGCCAGCTGGAATGGCATGTTGGCCTTCTTTGCCACTAGTGTGTTGAGCTCATTCAGCTCCCCTCGCCTGCCAGGCTCAAACAGCAACTGCTCAAGTCCAGTCACTGGCTGCACGGGTCAAATACATGCACTGCACTGCACATTGATCAAGCCAAGCTTGGCACCAACTCCCGGGGCGGCTGCTTTTTGCACGCGCTCGGTCCATTGCATTGCTTGGGCAGGCTCGTGCTTTGCCCTTCAGATCAGCATGCGCCATCAGCAGATCCGACATGGCCAAACCTAGCAGGGACTATCTCAAAATCCGGGAGCACGATATGATTGGTTTCTCTAATTAACTTCTTCTGGTATTTCAAGCAGTGGAACCAGCAAGATTCTTGGTCCCCCACTGCAGTTTGAGCAGTGCTTCAAGGGCTGGCTAGGACAAAACTGCAATGTGGCAACCCAGACACCAGTACAAAGTCCCAAACCAATTCCGCCACGCCCAAAAATTCCCGACTCGCGGATCAGAACAACCCCTGTCACGAGCCTGGCGCTTCTCGGTCCAAGACGCCAACGTCCCGCCTTGCCAAAGCCTTACAGCGCGTCTCGATGACTAACCGACCCATCTCGCTGGGTTGATCGATTCACTTGGCTTTGTCTCCAAGAGGCCCAACAAATGAGTGCTTTCCATATCTTTCCATTTGGTCTCCCCTACCCCGAGAATTCGAGAATGTACAAAACAAGCCGCGGTCTTTGTCTATCTCGATGTCTCGTGCTCGCTCTGAGTGGCGGACTCCTCTCGCACCTAGCATGTCAGAAAATGGCTCCACTCAGCTGTGCTTTCACCGGGGTCCGAGATGCGTACAACCCCTGCACCCCCAAAAAGAACAAAAAAAGATAGCAATAAAAACTCCAACATTCAATGTGGCCCCCGAAAAGGCGATCTTTGAACCATTCAAAAGGGATGCAACAATGGTAATCAGTCAGACCCCTGCTCAAACCAGAGCCCCATGCCCACCTCCAGCTCCTGGCACTCCTCGAGCTGACGATGGACCATGGCCTGCACTTGTTGCATGCGCAAAACTTCGTGCGCCCGTGTCTCGGGCAAGCTAGTAGTAGTAGTGGTGGTGGTGGTGGTGGTGGTGGTAGTACTAGCAGTAGTAGCAATGGCACTGTTACCGCGCTAACTGCCCTTCCCTCCACACCAACTTCGTATCCACCCTCCTCCAGTTCCACTCTATCTTGTTAGCTTCCTAACTGGCGCACCTACTAACTTGCTAACTTACTAACTTGCTCACTGGCTAACTTATTCTAACTGGCGCACCCTCTAACTTGCTAACTTGCTAACTTGCTAACTTGCTAACTGGCTAACTTGCTAACTTGCTAACTTACTAAGTTATTCTAACTGGCGCACCTACTAACTCGCTAGCTTAGTAGCTTTCTAACTGGCTAACTGTCTAACTTACTAACTTACTAACCGCCGTATGCTGACTTGCTAAACGCCCTTTGCTCCAGGGTGCACCGGATACTGACTTGCAAACTGCCTTCTCCTTGACATGGTCTGCAATAATTTGCTTTTGATCCTGAATTAACTTTTTGTTGATCGTCAATTCATTTTTTTGACGCGTTGCCTGCCAAACATTAAAAAAAATGTCGCGCGCTGGGGCTTTGCCCATCTCACATCCTTTTGGCTGTCCCCCCTTTATGCCGCGCAAAAAAGCTGCTTTCTCATTGCCCCGCCAGGTTCTTCATGGGCTCCCCAAATGGGCGCCAAGGCGAGGGTCCGAGCGGTCACTCACTGATCAAATCCAACTGTACCCTGCAGAAACAGGCCTCCGTGGTCCAAGCGCTCAGGACGTTGTGGTCCCAAAAGCGAACCTACGGGCCATCTCCTATGCCCCATCCCCTTGACAGCACATGCCTCACCATGCAAAAGTCAAGGCAGCTGGCGCCTCGACATAAGGTGGCCCAGGCCTAGGGCACACCTTCCGAACAGCTGCAGGCCAGATTCAAGATTGACACATCCTCTCATGCGCCCGACACGCCCTGTAAACATGATCACTGCAGGTGAAATAGAAATATAACGAACGGTATCTGACCAGGAAACAACACATCTCTGAATCCGGCTGCGGCTCTTCATGCCTCCGGCGCCAAGCACTGCAGACCCGCGCGAGCAGCGACCGCTGGCGGAAAGCCTGCATGCGCGCATGCTCTTTACCGTCCTGTTTTAGCAAAGGAAGCTTCAAACTGCAACGTGTGCAACACCGCCCCCACCCCACCCCCCGAGCCTCGCACGCCACAGCCAATGGCAGGGCAACCTTGTGCAGAGACAGGGTTGGCTTGGCGTGACAGCCAGCTTGCAGCCATTTTTGTCAAGCTCAAGAAGCTGGGCCTAATGTCAGCCTCATGGGGCACCACACAGAAGGAGCCAGCATTGAGACCGGCGGCTGCTGAAAGGAGGC